GGCCTCAGACGCGTCCATCGGCGTCAGACATCCAAACTAGGGGCAGGGAAAACAGCCTCCATTAGTCCATTGCACCTGAGGCACAAAGCGCGGTCCTGCACCTAGCCAGGGTCGCGATTTCGTCGAATCTCGTCCAGTTTGCCTCGATGCTCGCTGCCCAGGCAAGGGAGTCGGCAAAAATGGTGCCGAGCCCGACGCCCAAGGAGGCCACGGGCTTGTTCCCTATGCTCATGGAATTATGCTGTTCCAGGGACACTGAAGCCCATTTCTGGAGTTTGCAAGCCATGGCTTAAGCTTGAAGTATGATATCTAGCACATGCAAGCCTCGATTGGCAGATACTTGTAGTGCACAGAAGCATGCGGCAGTCAAACTACCACATGCGCATATGCATGGAATTGTTGCCTGCCAGCTTCCCTTCCACCGGGCATCCTCTTTGCCGCGGGGAAGCCTGCAACTGAGTTGTGCAGCCCGGATCCTTCCTGACCTTCAAGGAATGAGAAGTCATGGATGTCAGTAAATCATGGGAAGCGGCTAGCACAGGCAAAGCGAAGACCATGAGAACTGGCAGGGCGGACAATGGATGTTGCCTCAGCTTTAGAGAGCTTCGTGTTCTTCGCTCAAGCCACATGCGTGGCTGCAAGTGCTGTTGATGAGGTGGGAAAGCGGCGGTGACTCATGGGTGCGCACTTGCTTTACATGGTTTGACATGTCGGTCCTGCGGGTCATGCCCTGCAACACGCTGACCTGCGCAGAACAACAAAAGCTGGGAGTGGGAGTCCTGGCGAGAAGACGGCTGGGGAAACTCCAAGGGGGAGGCCGCGGCATTTTGACGCCCCAGCCCCATCATCGCACCAGCATGAAACATGTCCAGGGAGAAGACGGCTGGTGGGGTGGCCAGTGGGAAAAGGCCATGGCACTGCAGCACGTACACGCTAGCTTACACCGCACAGAACTCCTTCTCAGGCTGGTAGCCGCAAGAAGGGCTACAAGGCTTCTGCATGGTCAGTCTTTGTTCCGGGAACTCTTGCATGTGTTCCTGCAGGAGAAGAAAAAACCCACCGCTGAGGAGCTTGGACGCTGCTTTTTGATGCTGGCATGGATTTATTGCTTTGGAATGTTGGCAGGATGATGATGCAGATGCGGCACTGTGGGACATGCTCTCGACTCAGCCTGCTTGCCCCTGCAGACTTCTCACTTGTTTCGAACACCCGGCCCGCATCAGACGACTCCACCAGGCCAGATACTTCAGTGCAGCCCGATGGAGAGGCATTAGCAGCCTTCATTCACTGTGGGGCAGTGTCCTGAGCACATATTTCATGAATCCCAGCTGGCAGGGCGGCCTGGATCAGTGGACTCTGGGCCACCTCCCTGTGCACGAGCGTCTCATGGAGGGCGAACAGACATCCGGCGTGCCAAAGGCTCCCGACCGGCATGGATTCTGGGCCACATTGCAGTAAGAGCAGATCGCCAAAGGCCTTGCCGGAGAATGCCCTGACGCTAGAGGAGCTAGAGCCACGGGCTAAGCAACATGGCCAAACATAGGCAAGAAGATGGAAGCGGCGCATTGAGTGAGATCGCCCCTCACTGCATACCGGTTTTCAATTCCCAAAACCTGCAGGCGTGACCATTTAGCGGCACCGTCAGCGCCTCCTGTGGTGCCTGTGACGAGCTCAAAGCGGGATGCTACGGCCCGTGTGACTGCTTGCAATTGCACCGGCTTGATTCTAGATATCCTTGCCGGCACAAAGGCTCGCCCAATGCCCCAGTCGGCACCGCCAGTGTCGGCTGCAAGCCCAGCTTCGAGTTGCCAATGGCAATGATACATGCTGTCATGTTATGGGCTCTTGCTGGCTGTGTGGTGGCGAGGCTCCCATGCCAAACGTGGCGCCGCCGACCACAAAGCCGATGATCGACAGCCTGCCGCCCTAGAAGAAGTCAGCAGATCACAATGCAGTGCTTCTCGAAGAGATGACTGATCCCATGGGCGAATGGTGCATTTGCAGTGGTGATGAGGCCCCACAAGAGCAGAAATGGCCGCCTGCCTATGGCAGTCCTCACATTCTCGTCATTGTCCTTTGCAAGAATTGCTGTAAGCATGCCAAGACCAGGCTAGAGGCAAGGGAGCTGCCGATGACAAGACGTTGCCTCCCCAAACGCATGCGCCGTGCAGCGTTGAAGTTGGCGGTTGTAGACGCAAGTTGTGTCCTTGCATTGCTGTCCAAGGTATTCACCTCGAACTGAGGGTTACATCAAGCAGCTGCCGGGTACCCATTTGGCCACGGGGATGTAGCAGATAGACATGCGGGATCCTGTCTTGTTGCATAGGATATCTACGGATTCCCATTTCCTGCAATATTCCGCATCTATTTGGCTGTGAACAGCAGCCTGAGTCTACTGGGCTTCGCGTGCCTGTTTGTGCTCAGGACGGGCGTGCTTGACTTTTTTGCGTACTCCCGAAGTGACATTGCTGCTTTGGTACGGCGGTGTCATTTCGATGAGTGATGGGCTCATGTGTATGGTCAATGCATGTCAGGCAGCATGGGTCGAGCTTTGGAATGTTTGCAAGCCATTTGCTTAAGGAACCAAATTCAGATAGCTGTGGCCAACATCGTCGAGGCGCATTGCAATTTTGTGTTTGCAGGCCGTAAATCTTCGAGGAGTCCATCACATACAGGATACCTTGAACATCTTTGAACATTTCTTCAGTTGGAGCATGCAGAAAAAGAGAGGAAGCTGATTGGTTCAGGGAGGGCTCTTGAGGAAAACAGCCCGAATCTTCCTGTTGCTGTGCGGCCGGCCAGCAGGCATGAAAAGCATATTGGGCTTCTCGTTGTGGCGTCCAGGACCGTCAAAACCACGAGCAGAAAGAGTGGGGTACGGTCAAGAACAAGAAGCAAGCGAAGGC